TCTTACGGACCATGGATGGTTCATCCTTCTCATTGAGTCTTTTTTATTGAGCTGAATAAATTTTTGTTGAATGTTATGAAATATCTCCTTAAATGTGTGCCCCTGTTAGCTACTGACCTTCCCATTAGTCTATTTTCTCAGCCCATTTTAGTTAACGTTTTCCTCACACCTCTGTAATCACCCTTATTTACGGTGAGAAAATTGGGTTGTAGCCCAAATTGCTCTCTTCAAACTACATTTGAAATTCTATCATGTTGCAATCACTAACCTCTAGAGGATCCTTAGCTACCAGGTCTGTTATTAGCTCTACTTCACATGCTGGGGTCGATGTGACTGTAAAAATTCCAATAAATTGGGGTCATAAGTCACCAGATATGGGACAGTTTTAACTGAAGAATACTGAGGAAAGTTAATGATGAAAGAAATGATGTAGATATGCTAACCAAAATTCTTCATCAAAGAAGTAGATCATAATAAAACATTCATGATAGTGACAGAGAAACATTTGAGACCATAATATACAGTAACATTAATGAAACTTAGGAAGGTACAGGTTATTCAGGGACAGTCAATTTGGGTTCATAAAATGCAAGTCATGCTTGATTAATTTAATCTAATCCTTCATTGAACTGAATATGTGGCTTTTAAAAGGCTTCTGGTAATGTCCCAAAGAGGAGAATTCTTTCATATGTTTCATGCTCATGGTGTTAAAAATAAACTGACAGCATAGAGAGGGATGGGTGAAGGATAAAAGCTAGTGATACATCTAGTGGTAGTAATATAACAGCTGCTGCTGATAATGCTGGACATATCAGATCCAGCCTGAAACGTGGCTTGATAGATCATAAGTTTTATATTTGCAGTTAGTTTACTGCGGTGGTCAATCACCAAACAAATTGATTGATTGATTTATTGTCATGTGTACCAGAGTATAATGAAAAGCTTTGTTTATGAGCAGTACCGGCAGATCATCGTAAGCCAGGATGTACAGATCAGAGATTGTAAAAAGACTTAGGCAGAAGCATACAGGTTACATTGCACAGAGCGCGCACTGGGCAAGATCAACATTATTTGATGCTATTGTAATGCTATCACATCCTTTGAAATCAGAAAATTGACTTGTTATTATTTCTTTGTATGCATAAAGGTAATTTAAATCAATATTCTGCTTTGGTCTTCATATTGGAGGACACCACAAACATCACAAAGATAACAGATAAGTGAGGTGTTAATGGGAGGAAAGGACATGTAACAGTTTCTATCATGAGGACCTGATGGCTTGCATCCAAAGGTTTTCAAGGAAGTGTCTGCTGAGACAGTGGAAACATTGGTTGAAGCGTCTTAGAACTCACTGGATTTTGGGGATCCATCAGATTAGAAAGTCCTTTGCTCTCTCGCACATTGTTCAAGAAGAGATGAAGACAGAAAAAAGGAGGCTATAGGCTAGTTAATGTAACCTCTAAAATTGGGAAAATGCTAGAGTCCATTATAAGGAAGAAATAGCAGGACATATAGAAAATCTTCACACAACCAAATAGAGTCAATGTAGTTTGTTGAAAGGAAAATCATGTTTGACAAATTTGCCAGAGTTCCTTGAGGAAATAACAAACAGAGCTGATAAAGGTAACTGTTAGGTGAAGTGTATTTAGGTTTCCAGAAGGTATTCAGTAAGGGACCACATAAAAGGTATTGCATAACATTGGAACTCGCTGTATTGGGGCTAATGTATTAGTATGGTTTAAAGATTGGTGAATACACAGAAGACAGAAAGGCAGGATTAACGGGTCATTTTCAGGTTGGAAAGACAAAATGAGTGGAGTGCCTCAAGGACAAGTATTAGGGGCTCACTTATTTACTATTTATAAGGTTAGCTTGGAGGATGGAGCAGACAGTGATGTAACCAAATTTGCTGATGATCCAAAAATAGATGTGAGGACTTGTTGCGACGAAATAATAAGGAATCTGCAAAGGAATATAGATAGGTTGAGTGATTAGGTGAAAACTCGGCAGATGGAGTTTGATGCAGGAAAGTGTGAGGTCATGTACTTCCCAAACAATTTTCAGTTTTGGCAAAACAAAGGTATAGTCAAGGTACAGTTAGAATTATTGGGGAATTACATATTTTTTATTGTATCAATGAATAAATGAGGACAGTATCTCATATGTCTTTGTTTTATTGACTGAGGGACTATACTCCGATTCTAAACTCAAAGTTTAAATTTACTGTCACATATTAAAAATGTTACTCATGAACATTTGTAAAGAACCTTGACTGCTTTATTCTTTCAAATGCCGTCACATTTCCTTTTAAATATGTTTGTTACACATCATGGAACTATAAATGTTTTTGATAATTACACCTGTGGCCTTGTTTCCAAGGTTGTTCTCATTTTCAGATGTCACCTTCATAGCAAAATTTACTGAGAAATTTAAAGCCTTAATTACCACTGAAAACTTTTATTGAAGTTGTATATGGTCCATTGGCTATGTTATTTTTATGCAGCAATTTTATTCCCTTTGTTGGCAATAGCGTAAATGTATTTTTAATGTGATTAAATTAAATGGAAGACAATGCTGTGAATGTTGTATCTTCTTCTCACAGTGCAATCTCTGATCTCTGGTAAGCGTGTCAATGAGCATTGCTCAGCTATTGCTGCACATTGGAACAAATGCCTGGTTTGACCATTGTATTTTGAAAATAAAAGCCATGACCAAGAATATGAAATTCATAGCAGCAGGGTTAGGATAGATTTAGGTGTAAGCCAGTTTTTAGCCAGTATTTAGCCTTATGAAAATGCACATTTATGAAGTGCTCAATATGTGATTCCAGTAGGACTCTGCTGGAGTAGCATCTGTTACAGTTGCTCAAAATATCGGAAGTTTCCAGTTCAAGGACTCAGCATATGCTTCTCTAGTTGTGTTTTTGAAAAATCATTGAACTAAATTTTACCTTGGAGAGTCAACTGGGTTTGGGTGGCTTGATTTTGATGATTAAAACCAGGAAATTACAGGACTTTGGGAAGTCAACTTCAACTTGCTAATGCCTACATTTCACTTGAGTATTTTAGGCAGTGACACATGACCACATTAGGAGCAACAAATTTGTAATTACCATATGTAAATTACTCAATTAGAGCAATATTTCAACACACTTTTGACTTTAATGTTCAGTCCATGGCTTTCCTGAAATTAGTCACTGGAAACAGCAATGAAAACAAATTGAATCAATCCCAGAAAAATATGTTGATAAATATTTAATACTTCAGGCTCCCTTCTTTCCCTTGAATGGGAGAGCGTTTATTCTCAGAACATTTGGTGAAATATTATTTTTGTACTTTCGAGTTCTACTCTAACGCATTGGGATGGGTGCTGCTTATTCTGCTTTAGATTAGACCTCAGATGAGGATTCAGGTCTCTGGAAAATGGAATAACCGTTATTTATCCTCTTCCAAGCAATGACATTGACACTGAGTAGACCTGCAACCAGCATCCCCCACTCCTTCATCGATCCCATTATTTCATGTCCTTGTTATGAAGCAGGTTAGAAAGCCAATTACCACAAAGCACTCAAGAATGGATTCTTGTCATTAATGAATAACAGTAGTAATGACTTGTCCTCTCCTGTTTTCTGGGAAGAGACTTCCAAAGACTTTTTGTTCATCCCTTTTCGCAACTAAAAGACTTTAACTTTCTCTTCTACACTTACATGGTGCAAACTGTGGAGATTCAAACGAGCTGAAAGAAGCCTGCTCAGATCTCTATTGTAGAGTCATTGACTCTGGGTTACAGCATAGAAGGAGGCATAATTTTGGTATATTCTATATACCAGTAGAGCAAAAGTAAATTATGAAAATATATACATTAAGACATTAAGTTTTCATTCATAAGTACAATCAGTTAAACTTAAATTGACACAGCGCAATTTATGCCATTTTCATTTCGGCATTTGGATTTAAATACAGACTGTCAACAAATGTGACTGGTGATTTTTGCCATTTCATTCGATTGCAATGTCCTAACTAAAAATACCACAGTGAGACAAGTCATTGAATAGCACATCAGAAGTAATTAATCCAATGGGCCTTGAATGGATGGTGCCAAAATTTAGTCAAGATGTAAGCAGCCTGGGGAGAAAATTTGCGAACAGTTATATGTGGGAATTACAGGAGCCTGGTTTGACGAGGAAACAATGTCATTTCTCTGTTATTTTGAAAAATAAGTTTACTTTCTCCTATAAAGATGACAATGCAAGTAATGGCTGAATATATTGAGTAAATTTCAGTGAAGATCTGACATACGAATGAGGACTCCTTATGTTTGGTTATTAATGCTTAAACTTTCCAGAAGTAGTGAAATAACATGTCCCTACAGATACAGGACATGCTCTTCATATTGGACATCTAAGAATATATACACATGCGTGCAGAATAATATTTTATAAAGTCAAGAGTGATCTCTTGATCTGTAACATAGAGTCATAGAGTTGTACAGCACAGAAAAAGAGCCTTTGGTCCAACTCTTCAATACTGACCAGATATCCTTAAAAAAATCTAGTCCATTGGCCTGCATTTGGCCCATTTCCCTCTAAACCCTTCCTATTCATGTACCCATCCAGATGCCTTTCAAATTTTGTAATTAAACCAGCCTCCACCACTTTCTCTGGCAGATTATTCCACACATGCACCACCCTCTGTGTGAAAAAGTTGCTGCTCCAGTCCCTTTTAAATCTTTCCCCTCTCACCTTATACCTACACCCCTTGCCCTGGGTAAAAGACCTTGGCTACTCACTATCTTCATGCCCCTCATGATTTTATAAACCTCTACAAGGTCACCCCTCAGCCTCTAGCCTTCTAGGGAAAACGAAGCCCCAGCCTATTCAGCCTCTCCCTATAGCTCAAACATTTAAATATTTTCAAATGTAATCCTGTCTGAGGGGATTCTGCTTTGCTATTTCATGCTGAATTATGTTTTTCAGTTTGATAAATAATAATTATTCATACCTCATCATTCAGCTTTTTGATTTGCTGCTTTGTCTCTTCAGCTTTAGCAGCCAGCATGGCAGGTGTAACTTGATCAAAGTCTGTGAACATTAAATGGGAATTTACAAACTCCTGTTGTCCTCCAGTTCAACTGTGCGATGTACTGATGACTATACTTACAGAAGCGATTTTAATTACTTGAAAATGCTAGCATTTTAAAAATAACATTCAGAAGAATTTAACTCAATTGTGGGATTTGCAGAAGACACTGAAAGTCTGCAGAGGGATATAGATAGTCTAAGTGAGTGGGCAAAGGTCTGGCAAATGGAGTACAATGTTGATAAGGTCATCCATTTTGGTAGGAACAACAGCAAAATGGACTATGTTTTAAATGGTAAAAAATTGCAGCACGCTGTAGCAGAGGGACTTGGGTGTCCTTGTGCATGAATCGCTAAAAGTAGGATTGCAGGTGCAGCAGGTAATTAAAAAGGCAAATGGAATTTTGTCTGCCATTGCTCGAGGGATGGAGTTTAAAAACAGGGAGGCCATGCTGCAGCTGTATAGGGTCCTGGTGAGGCCACAGCTGGAGTACTGTGTGCAGTTTTGGTCTCCTTACTTGAGAAGGGGTATACTAGCACTGGAGGGGGTGCAGAGGAGATTCACTCAGTTGATTCCAGAGTTGAGAGGGTTGGATTATCAGGAGAGACTGAGTAGACTGGGATTATACTCATTGGAATTCAGAAGAATGAGGGGAGATCTGATAGAAAAATATAAGATTATGAAGGGAATAGATAAGGTGGAGGCAGGGAGGTTGTTTCCACTAGCAGGTGAAACTAGGACTAGGGGGCATTGCCTCAAAATAAAGGGAAGCAGATGTAGGACTGAGGTCAGGAGGAACTTCTTCACCCAAAGAGTTGTGAATCTGTGGAATTCCCTGCCCAGTTAAGTGGTTGAAGCTACCCTGCTGAATGTGTTTAAGGCAAGGTTAGATAAATTTTTGAACAGTAAAGGAATTAAGGGTTATGGTGAGTAAGTGGAGCTGAGTCTCAAAAAGATCAGCCATGATCTTATTAAATGGCGGGGCAGGCTCGAGGGGCCGGATGGTCTACTCCTGCTCCTACTTCTTATGTTCTTATTTGGAGGGGGTGGGAGGAGTATAGGAAATTAGGTGAGTAAGCAGTTAAATTACCTATCTCACTTACCCATCAGTTTATCATTTGCTTCTTGTCAATTCTGATTTCAACCTACTCTCTAAGTAAGCAACAAAGGTAATCACTTCACAGCTGGTGGCTATCTCTTAAAATGCGCAGATTGGGTCAATGATTTCTTAAGGTTCCGAAGTGCAATTTTAACTCTGGTTTAAAGGGGGAAACCATGGTAGAAAAAGGATTCAGGGATCTAAAGAAGTAATTGTTTGAATGTTTTAATGCTTTTCCTGGCGTGCCAGGCTGAAGGCTCACTGATACCAAAATCTCTGTTCAAGATCTCTGACCAGAGCTGATATCCACTCATTTCAGGCTGACCAGTAGCTAAAATTAGTTGGGAGTCATGCTGCTGACGTTCAGTGTGTTTGGAGCTTTCTGACCCCACTCACCCACATCCTGCTCATACTTAAATTATCACTGTGTAACTGAATGACTGGTCTGATGTTCATTTTTTTAAACAAATGTAGCTACGTTGACTAGGATTATCATCTCTGGCATCAGCCCCACCAAATGTGTGATAAGAAACTGGCACTTCCAAAACTCATTCTCAGTGATCTGCCAAGTTGTAAATCTTGAGCCTGACTTAATTTAAATAGAAGGCTTCTGACGGTCTCTGGTGATATCATATTCACAGCAGTGGCAAGGGCTCCCCTTCAAGTAAAAGTGGGGACTTTCCTGAATCCTGCAAAGAACTCTTCATTGTTGACATTCTGGACATGTAGATCTCATGTGAAAGGAAGGTCAGGATGATCTGCTCTCATCTACATATCGTAGGCAAATTTTAAATAATATTCAAACATGATAGAGGAACGCTTTTATGTTGGTATGAACATGACATATATTACCTTTTGCATGTTTAAGTTTGAATGATTCTTGTCCTGTATTTTCAGTGCAGAACTCAAATCTCTGGTTTCCTATTGAACTTTTCTCGTCTTCAATGCCGTCAACAATTCTATAAGAATAAAAAGTTTAGATGTATTAATGTACAGATGCAAAATGAATCATCTGATTTTTGTGTGAAAAATAATATTTAAAGATCTAGCTCCTGTGTTTGTGCATCAATACTAAAGTAGAGCGATTAACATAGTTACCATTTATTTCGATCAAGTCATCCTTCACTACTGAACTACATCAACATTATCTGCTTAAATCAGCAAGGGAAACCAATTACTTCAAATAGTTATTTGTGTTTCTGCTGAAAGACAGATCCTGTTTGATAAAGCCCTAACACATAATGTACGAAACCCAAAGCCCCATTCCAGCGCATTAGACCACAGTGCAAAATTTAATACATATTCGAGAATCAATCATTCCAACTTTAATTCACTTTTATAAGTGTATGTGGCAGAGGTGTATTGCATATATTTTGCTCTTATGTAAGTGTATGTTCTGGGGCTTGTAACTCTGAATTACACTTTCCTGTTTCTTTCTTCCACTAAAAGGATTTCTATTAGGAGTAGAAGCATAATGATAATGTCAATTGACATGCGATCTAGACAACTGGACTCATATCCATATTTAAACTGGAGTTCAAATCTAAAATCCCGCCACAACAGCTGGGGAAATGTGAATTCAACTAATTAACCCAAAAAGGTTCATTCCCACTAGCGTGGAATCTTATAGGGGCCTGATCGATGTAGGCTATAACAATATTGGAAGCAGAATCACACAGAAAGTCCAGCAAGGCTATCTCATATCAATAGCACTTGGTACAACTTCTATGTATTTGCTGAGCAGTTTGATGACTTTCTTGATAACTCCAGTGAGTTGCCACAAAGGAGGAATTATCGCTTTTCAAACGCTTCATTAATGCTGTAACTCACCTTATCAATATTCAGCTTTCTATTGTACCAAATGTACTGAACAAGCTAGATGTTGAGAATTTTTCCCATGGAAGTCAGCGTGGACATTTGGTGACTTAAACTCGCCATTGACTCCAAAAAGTCTTCATTTTAGACACTGGGCATGAACATCTCAGGGTACACACTATATGCACTGGACCACACGCACCCTACATCCATCGACATTGGCATCTGAAATATGCCAGCATCTAGGAACTTTCATTGCACCTCTCCAGTCCACTTACAATATGTTTCTGCTCATCAAATCTGCATCAGCAACAATCATTGCAATGATACTGCAAGGACACCGTGCTCAGGGACATGCACCAGCTCCTAGACAGTACCAGCTTGCATGTCCGGTCTGTTTGCTTGCCGTCATAGCACTCACTCACTCTGCGCCTTCCTGGACGCTTGCAGCATACCTACCTTGTATTGCTTTCCCTTTTACCCTCTGAGCCAGAGATACCAGGCTGACAGTCGTGTGGTATTCAGCACAGACACAAAGCCATGAAGATTGAAATAGTTGCAAGCAGTCATCAGAAGTCAAGGTCAGCCTCTGTATCAGTCCAAGGGCTTAGACACAGTCAGTCAGCCACTCAGGGAGTCAGAATCAGGACAGTCTCCATATAACGGGTGACAAACACAAATGTGAGGCAGCCCACACCTGTCTTGTTTCTTTGTGCCCTATTGTGGGCTCTTTTCCTCTTTGAACGAGAGAGAGGCAGGTATTAGGGGAGATGAAAGTGGATGGCACGACTGTTACTTTGGTGCAGATGGGGATATGTCCCCAGCGAGTGAGTAGGCAGTGCAGCTGACAATGCAGGGTTAGAGGATAGGTTGGCTCACAGGAAGCAGAGGGTGGGCATAAATAGGTCATTTTTGAGTTGACAGGGTGTGACAAGATACTGGGGCCTCAATTATATACAATTTATCCCAATGACCATACGTTTAGTAGCTAAAATTGCTGATGATCGAAACATAGTTAGAAAAGTAAGTTGTGAACAGGATATAAAGAGTCTGTAAAATTAGTTAAGTCAAGAGAAAACAGAAAATTGGAAGCTGGAGTATAGTGTGGAAAAATGCAAACTTATCCACATTGGCAAGAAGAATAGAAAAGCAGTATAGTATTTAAAAGGAGACAGATTGCACAGAGTGCAACCCTCAACATAAGGGGTGTCCTATACATGAAGCATGAAAGGTTAGTACATAGGTCCGGCGAGTGATTTGGAAAAGAAACAGAATGTTGTGTTTCATTGTGAGAGAAATGGAATATAAATTCCAGATTTATTATTGCAGTTGTATAGTTTACTGGTGAGGCCACAACTGGAGTACTGTGTACACTTTTGGATTCATTATTCATGAAAGGATGTAAATACATTAGAAGCTGTTCCAAGAAGGTTTACTGGACTGATTCCTGGAATTAGGGAATGGGGGAGGCTTATCTTCTGAGGAGATTTTTTTTTCTTTATGCATTTTTGGAATGAGAGTATCACTGGCTCGGCAGCATTTATTGCCCAGAGGGCAGTTAAGAGCCAAACACATTGCTGTGGGTTTGAAGTCACATGTAGGCCAGACCAGGTAAAGACGGCAGTTTCCTTCCCTAAAGGACATTAGTGAACTGGATGGGTTTTTTCCAACAATAGTTTCATGGTCATCATTAGACTCTTAATTCCAGATTTTTTCTATTGAACTCAAATTCCACCATCTGCCATGATGGATTCAAACGTATTTCATTGAACATTATCTGTGAAAGTAACACTAGGCCATCACCTCCTTAGGTTGTTAGACAGGCTGTGTCTATATTCACTGGAATCCAGAAGAATGAGGGGTTATCTTTTTGAAATATTAAGATTCTGAGGGGACTTGACAGCACAAATGATGAAAGGATGTTTCCTTTGCCCTTGGCTGTGTATACTGAACACTGGACAAACAAGAGTTTGTTGAAGTCCTGTATTTTCTGGGTTCTCCAATCTTTTGAAGGTAAAGAAAGCAGCCAATTAATTACTTCTGAAATGTAGTTTTGTAGCAAAATGTAATAGTTAATTTGGTCACAATAAGATCCAAAGAACTACTTTATGAAAATCAGACCTATTTCTGTCAACTCCTAGGCAAATTTAGTGAAAAGAAATTGCTCGCTGTTCATTTTCTCTGCAAACTTCTACATAAACAGCAATAAGCCTGTATTAAAGTTGCACATAGTAAAATTACTATGAAGGTCTGTGGTTAGTTAACATTTGATTGAAATTGTACATGAAACAGAAAGAAAACTTTGTCGTAGCTTAATTGTGAAGGCTGAACTGAACTTTTGGCTGCCAGGATAGTCATGTATTTCAGAAATATTGAAAATTCAAAGCAGTAGAGACTTAAGGGAAAATGCAATTGAGGAAAATATATTAACATACTATTTGTTTCATGTTTTATGACTATGTTATCAATTTATGGACTCCAGTAGTAGACCTATCTCAAATGGTGCAACTTTGAGGGGAGTACACGAACAGAGGGACCTTGGGTTTATGTGCATAACTCTATGAAGGTGGCCAGGCAAGCTGAAACAGTTGTTAAGAAGGTTTATAGGATCATTGGGTTTATAAATAGTGGCATGGAGTATGAAAGTGATGTTACACCTCTACAAATCAATGGTCAGACCACATTTGGAGTATTGTCTTCAGTTCTGGGGCACCTTATTTAAAGAAGGATGCTAAAGCCCCGGAGACAGTGCAAAGGAGATTGACTAGAATGATACCAGGAATGAGGGATTTTCAATACGAGGAAAAATGGGGGTTATTCTTCTTGGAGCAGAGAAGATTAAGAAGTGGCCTTACTGAAGTGTTCAAAATTAAGAACAATTTTGACAGGGTAAAAAAGCATATTCTGTTTCCACCAGTTGGTATGTCAGTAATTAGGGGCTATAATTTCAAGATTGTCAGCAAGAAAGCTAGGAGTGAGATGAGGAGAAACATTTTTCAGAGAGCTGTTAAGGTTTGGAATGTGCTGTCTGAGAGAGTGGTGGAGGCAGATTCCACAGCAGGTTTCAAAACAGAACCGGATATACCTTTGAAAATGATGAAATTAGAGGGCTATGGAGATAGGGCTAGAGAATGGGACAGGCTAGATAGCTCTTTCAGGAGCTTGTACAGACACTTCATTACTGTAAAATTCTACAATTCTCTGATTCTATATTCAAAAATGGAAACTATAAACGTTTTGATGGTAGTATAATGAAAACATATACTTCCAAGTTGGTTTTGTTAGGCCTCTACTTCTACTCAATGGACTGTGGTGGTTCAAAAAGCTGGTTCACCAGAAACTTTCTGAAGGGAAATTATGAATGGGCAAAAAATACTGGCCTTGCCAACCATGCTAATATCCCAGGAAAAAAATGAAAAAAATGCTTGTAGATCCTCTTTTTTACTGTTCATTTTGTTTGCAAAATGTGTTTGCAAAATGCAACCTGAAGGTTTAGAAATTGTTTTAAATTATTTTTATTATCATGCAGGGATGTGGCATTCACTGCCTTATTGCCCATCCCTAGTTGCCCTTGCAAAGGTGGTGGTGGACTGCCTTCTTGAACCACTGCAGTCTATTTGGTGTCATTGTCATGTTTTTGTACTAATGCACCAATATGTGACATGTTCACTTGACTGAGATAACAAGTTGTAGAGCTGAATGAACACAGCAGGCCAAGCAACATCAGAGGAGCAGGAAGGCTGATGTTTCGGGCCTAGACCCTTCTTCAGAAATGGGGGAGGGGGAGGGGATTCTGAAATAAATAGGGAGAGAGGGGGAGGTGGATAGTGAATGGATAAAGATGGATAAAGGATAATCTATCCGCCTCCCCCTCTCTCCCTATTTATTTCAGAATCCCCTTCCCCTCCCCCATTTCTGAAGAAGGGTCTAGGCCCGAAAATGTCAGCTTTCCTGCTCCTCTGATGCTGCTTGGCCTGCTGTGTTCGTCCAGCTCTACACCTTGTTATCTCAGATTCTCCAGCATCTGCAGTTCCTACTATCTCTGTTCACTTGACTTCCTCAGTCAGTTATTTTCTGGAGTGATTAATAAATAATTTGAAACAAATAGGTTTATTGCTGTGCTGCAAACAAGAAGGCACAGGACAACCATTCAAATCAATTGTGTTTATATACAAATATTACCACTCGTATTTTTCAGTCTTGTATACCTTAATGCAGTGAGGGTCCAGGGCAAAACATATGTTTCATCCCCTGCCTTGAAATCCCTCATTTTGGTAACCATGAAAATAAAACATAAAGAACTATATTGAATATGTTGTACCTTGGACTGAGATCAGGAGGAGCATACGAGTTTAGTGCAGTGAGATGCAGTTTTAAGGTTTTGTTTTTCTTGCTCCTTATATTTACAGATTCATGATCTTGCCTGCTTCTGATCATGACGCCGCAGCCCCTGATGGGAGACCGGAAGTCTATGTGGCCTGAGAGGAGCTGTTGGTTAGCTGCTAGGAAATTGCTGGTATTTGTTGTTTTGTTAAAATTCAAGGATTGATTGTAGTACGTAGCGTTGGTAGAAACATGTGATAATGGTGTAGTCTCATCCATTTCTTGCACATCCTCTTCATCTTCTACAATAGATGTGAGTTTCTGGCTTAGGTTCCCATTTCCATTGGAACCTGACTATGTGTAAATGGGGACAAAAAAAACAATCATTACAGAGGTGTTGGGAACTAAACAGTTCACTACTAACTAGTCAGATAAATGAACATTAAAAATGATATTATGTAGCAGGAAAAACAACCGTTATGTCTTTCTCAACTTCTGGAAATTCCAATGACTAAATTACTTCTGAAGTGAAGATGCTATTGCAATGGAGGGAGACACAGTAACAAAGTTGCATATAGCAATGGAATAAATAACCATTGTCTTTGTGATGTTGCTTGAGGAGATAACTATTGGCCTGGACATTTGGGATTTTATATGTCCACCTCCAACAAGATCTGAGCTTAATGTTTCATCAGAGATGAACACTTTTAAATGCAAGCATAATTAAATGATGATGTTAATATCAAATATTTTGAGAGCCTCATGCCTGTATGGCTAACAGCTTATAACACTCTTGGATAGTTCCTGAAGAGTGGATAGAGACTAATGTAGACCCATTTCTAAGAAAGGAGACAAGATGGGCCCAGTAACTATTAGCTTTTGCTAACTAGTTTTATATCAGTTATAGAAAGGATTATTGAGAGAATCAGTAGGGATATATCATATGATGGTTTAGATAGATGGGGCATATTGAGGACATCCAACATGGCTTCAAAAGAAGGAGATAAGACCAAAAGAACTTGATTGTAATATTTCAAGAAGTGACTGGGATGATGGACAAGGAAAGCCTGGTAGATATTGCCTACTTAAGACTTCCAAAAGCTTCTGTCATGGTACCACACAATAGGCTTTGCTGCAAGCTCAAACCTCAGATATTTATGGTGTCATAGAGATTGAGAGTGGAAATTGGCTGGAAGCAGGTAGGCAGAAAATAGATGGATCTGCTTAGCGACCAGTCACCATGGTTTCACATACGTATTTGTGTTGGGGCCATTTCTTTAAGAACAATCTAAATGTTGGTGTCGCAGGCACAATCTGAAATAAATCTGAGAGAGTGTTAGATACACAGATATTGTATAATTTTTTTCAAGCAACTCTAGACATGTGAGAGATAGGCTCATGGCTGTCGACAATTGGTTGAATTGTATTGTCTTTCAAAGTTTTATGCAGTTGAGAACAAATGCTGATTGCAACTGTATTGGTTTTGTTTGGCTGCAGAGCATTGCTTTCTTCTTGGAAGTGGCCTATTAACAGGCCTCCAGGCAGCCTCCATGTTTGCTGTTCATGTAAGGATGGCGGGCAGGATCCTGAGGTGGGAAGGTCCAATGAAATCATTGTCAGCCATAATGGGAGAGGGCATCTCAAAATACAGGCATTCCAAAAATTTATAATTCACTCAGCCAAGCCTCCATGGATTGTCTTGTGCCCTCTGATCCCGCAATCTCCACGTTGGCTGATTTATAGGGCACACTGCCAGAAACCTTGTCTATTTACTTGTGCAGCTACAGCCTCATTCGGAACCCATCTGCATCTGGGAAGAGATGACATCTTAACCAAGTCCCATTTGACCAATTAATGCTAACTGCTATGCTGGGAGGACAGCCACTGCTGCATTGACTGCATCTCTGGCAAGATTGCTCAGAGATAGGAATGTGCCAGGAAGCCAATCTCACAAACTAATTCCCAAGTTTCCTTCTGGTCCTACCTTTTTTTTTCCCTTATTCATTCACAGGACGAGGCTGTTGCTGGCTAGGCCAGCATTTATTGCCAATCCTTAATTGTCCTGAGGGCATTTATGAGTCAACCACATTGCTCTGGGTCTGGAGTCACATTTAGGCCAGAGATGGAGAGGATGGCAGTTTCCTTTCCTCTAGGACATTAGTGAACCAGATGAGATTTTCCAACAATTGACAATGGATTCATGGTCATCATTAGACTCTTAATTCCAGATATTTCTGAATTCAAATTCCACCAGCTGCCATGGCGGGATTCAAACCCAGGTCCCCAGAACGGATCAACGAATACCGCTCATGCTTGGACATAGAGCAGTTTTTCCGCCGCCTCCGCCTCCACGCTTACTTCTTCAACCGTGAACCTAACCCTCCCTCTACTGACCCCTTCTCCCGCTTCCAACACACCCCCTCCTCCTGGACACCACCCCAAGGCCTCCTACCCTCCCTTGACCTCTTCATCTCCAACTGCTGTCGAGACATCAATCGCCTCAACCTCTCCACCCCTCTCACCCACTCCAACCTCTCCCCCGCAGAACGTGCAGCCCTCCGCTCC